TCTCTCTCTCTCTCTCTCTCTCTCATAATTATTTATTTTATTTTTAAGCAAATTATTTGACAACCGATTGAATGAGCACTGGATTGATGAGAACGAAGCCCTTATCCATCACTTTCATCGCAATTGTATTCATCAACAAAACGATACAATAGTTATCGATAAAACACTTGTAAAATATCAAACATTAGTGAAGCGTTTTATAATTAACAATAAGCTGAACAATATTTATTATAATTTTATAAATTAAAATAAAGTTATAAATTTTATACGTGCATAAATTTGATGACTGATTGGCGAGCATTGAATTCGTGCAATGTTTGCCACAATTAACACATTTATCACTCGATTTGTGAGAAACTAATAACGAATTGTTGGATAAAATTATTGATATTTTCCCAAACCTGAGACCACTTGATATTAGCTATTATATAAATAACATCTGATATAAGAAATTAAAACATGTAATAAAAATGAGTTAAAATTACAATTTTGACAATAAAAGTGATCAAAAATAAGTGGACACCCGATGACTATTTATGGCCAGACTTGTCGTGTACTTCCAGCTGATGGCGCACTAAATGGGATCGCGTTTTGAACCGCTTGTGACAGTGCGGGCACCGGAAGGGCCGCTCATTTGAATGGACCAATTGGTGTCGTTTGAAATGGCTTTTGGAGACGAAAGTTTTGCCGCACTCGTCGACAGCGCAGGCGAACGGCCGAAGACCCAGATGTCGGTTCGTGTGAATGGTTAGGTCATGGGTTTTAACGCACCGGTAGTCGCAGCCATCGTACGGACATTTCAATGGCTTCCCGGTGTGTATGAATCGGTGCCGATTCAGACCATCTTTGCGTTTGAATGTTAGCTCACAGCCAATGAAATCGCATTTAAACACACGTTTGCTGGACGACTGGCCAACGATCGGACGGTGAATATCGCTATCGATGTGTAGTTTGAGAGCATCGGCGGTGAGGAACAGCTCTCCGCAGACGTCGTGAGGACAGGGAAACTGATCGACGCCTTCGTGTCTTTCATTCATGTGTTCCCGCAATTGAAACCGACGGTCGCAGCGATAGTCGCAGTCATTGAGCGGACATTTCAGTGATTTGTCCGCCAGATGTGTCAATCGGTGTCTTCGGTATGCTTTCGATTCGGTGAACACTTTATGGCAGTCGTTGTAATCGCATCTAAAACCTCCCGATTGGTCATCGATTGCGTCCATATAATCGCTGTCATTGTCGTCACTATTGTCTGAATCTATGATAACTTCATATGAAGAACTCGTGGATCCGTTAGATTCTGAGACCTGTTCTTCGGCATCGTTTTCGGTCTCAAAAATCTGAATACCATTCAAAGCGTTTGTCTCGTGAATGTGTCGCTGAAGAGAGGACTCTGTGGCCAATCCATCGCTGGTCTCACGAGTGGACACAACTGTGGCCGAAGTGTGCGCCCGATGTTTGTGTCCAATGAGTGCCTCTTCGCTGAGACACAAGTCATCGCATTCTTCGCATTCATAGATGTCTTCCATTTGGTGTCCATTAATCATGTGTTCAATGAGTGATGTCTTCGACATAAATCTGTGATCGCATTCTTCGGCCAAACATTTAAACCTAACCATCAGTTTATTGCCGACGCTATCGCCGGTCACATGTGTGCCGACTGTTGACCCCATTGTCGACCGATCGCCGCGACTGTCAGTCATTTGATCCCTAAGTTTGTTCACCTCTTCAGTGAGTTTGACATTCAATTGTCTCTCAATTGATAACTCTTTGCGCAATCTTTGGATCTCTTCACTCATCTCTTCCATCACATCATTGATCACTAAATCACACATTATTTTTGATAATGAATTGTAATTATTATTATTCAATGAAATTATTATTAATTAAAAGTTTTAATTAAATTTGAATTTTAATACAAAAACAAATGAAATGAAAACAAAAGCCAAACCAATGCATAGAAAACGTGTTGAATGTGTAAAACCTGTGAAACCCTATCAATGCTTACTCTCTATAACTGTCACCAAAAATATATA